AATATTCTGTGAATCTGTGAATCTGTGAAATCCCTGTTTTTTTCCTGAGGAGGCATTTTCAGTTTTCAGCTCTTTAAAGACAGAATTATTCCCTTCCAAATGTAGCAGGTAGCTCTTGGATTAGAACCTTTTCCAGCTACACAGAGCCTGTGTGACCTGCTTTAGATGTAGGGAGCTTTGGGAAACAGTCTCATATTAAATGAATGGAAGGAGGAGCTGAAAGCCCTCTTWACACTGGAGATTTTCTTACAAAAGTTATTCTTTTCATAAACTAACCACTGCATCCAAATATGATTGAGAAAGTTACCTATTTTTTTTTATTTCCTTAAGAATATGAAGGTGTATGTAGCTGGGATGTGTTTCACATGAAAAAAGCATCCTAGATTTGTGTCCCAGTTAGTGTTCTGAATGTACAAATTGTGAGCAGATTTTAGAAAATTAGAGCCACGTGTACTTGCTTACAAACAGATAGAAATGGAAGTGCTGATAAAACTCAGAACTCTGTTCTGATCTCTGTAGAATAAAACTCTGTAATTTATTGGTAAATCGGGGTGACAGAGCAGAGGCCTTTGACAGCAGTGGYGTGTGCAGATGTCAGCTGTTCCATCCGACCTGCAATAACTTTGCTGCAAGTCAGTGTCGCAGTGGGCTTTGCACATAGAGGGAGGTGAAGCCTGAGCCCTGCCTCGTGCCTGGCTTGCAGCTGTCCCATTCCAGGTGGAATCCAAGTCTTCCCTGCTCTTCTCCTCCAGGAGCGACACCTGTGTTTTCCTGCTAATCCTGCATTCTAGAATTCTCCTGCCATTGAAACACTGGAGTAAAATAATGCATCTTCTAACAAAAACTTGTGTCATGCTGGCTCTTCAGGCTGTTATGGTGACCTCGTTGGCTTTCCTGATTAGAAAGAAAGAGATGTAAAGTTCTACTGATGTCATTTTACTTGATGAAGTAAACCTTGCCTCATAAGGGATAATTTCTCAGGTAGAATTTTTTGTTTTTTTTTTCCCTTAAAATGGCAAAAAGCAATGTCCTGATGATTTTGGTATTCAGAATTCTGACATCACTAAGCTCTTTATTAAAATAATGTATAATAAGACTCTTGAGTTTTGCAGATGTGGTGGAACTTTGAATGAAAGAGAGGCTACTATCAGAAAATTACAATCTTGTCAAATTTTTGACTTTGTACTTGTAGATGGAAAGACTAACAGAAAAAATGCATGTCCTTGTGGGAGAGGATGTCTTAAATATTTGTCTGTAACTGTGTATAACTTCAGCTTAAAATATTTTTCTCTTCAGAAGATACAGATCTGTATTTAACGTGAATTAAAAGAATGAAAGTCTAATTTACACCTGAATATGTTGACTCATCCTTTGTTTTTGTCATCTTGGTCAGTATTTAACACACTCCATTGCAGTTATTGTAAAATAACACATTTTTTTGAAGTGTTTCTTAGTATTACTTATTGACTGTCTATCTTAAGCTTTTTATTTTTTAATAAATTTGAAATATCAGTTGTACCAAGTTTTGATGTGATTTAGTGTGTACAAATTATGTTTTATTGTATAATATATTAATTCCACTTGCATTGGAGTGCTGCCCAGTATCTTCATTGTGGAAGCTCTCCTAAAGGAGCATTTTATATCTTCAGTTAACATTCATCTAGTTTTGCAGCTCCTGTTGAAAAGCTCTTCAAGACCTTAATGGGTTTAAACTGCTCTACTTTCAAGTTCCTTTTCTAGGTAAAGTTCCCTTTACTTGAACAGTTTTCTGCTTACTAGAATTAGAATACAAAATAGTATGAATCTTGAACCTCCGTATTTACTAGGATCTTGCTGTTGAGCAGCAAGAGCCTTGGGACTTGTTTTGTGTTGGGGAGATGCCTGGTTTACTTTTCTGACTTTTCCTTAGAGTGAATGTGATCTTCTTTTGAGGTCAGAGAAAGAGAATATGGAAAATCAGGACCTAAAGAAGTTCATGAAAGAATAAAAACACACAGCTGGACTGTGAAAGGCAGCRTGCATCTGTTCTGCACCATTTCTTGGTTCTTTGAATATAGATCATGCCTCTCTTGGAAGGCCCACATACTACCGTGTKCTCAGAGAAAGTAAGTTCTAACTAAATTGAGTAAGTATCTAAACTGAGGTTTAAAACGCAGTGTGCAATCTTGAGCACTTGAAAATTTGATCATTTGAAGCGAATGTGAAGCTCCTTTGAAGGGGTGACTGATGCAAACCAAAGCTACTTGACAGCCTTTTAATGCCAGTGTAGCGCAGGAGGTGGCTTGGCCACGAAATAAACATCTGCGAAGGAGATGCTGAAGCTTTTGGGTTGTCTGGAAGAAATCTTCCGATAGACAGAGCTCTGTGGGTTTACCCCAGTTCTCTTTAAAGTTTGAGATGGGATCTAGGCAAAACTATGACCCTGTGGATAGGAAAGAATCATCAGGGCCTGTCCAGACCTTTCTCTATTGTCCAAATGAAAGAGAATTAAGAATTGTTTCGTTGAARCAGTTTGAGGTGCTGTTTTCTAGTGTTAAAAGCAGTTTGCACTCTTTCTTTGCTGCTTTGGAATTCTGGAATTGGAATTTGGAGTTAAGTCTCCAATTAAAGAAAAAAAGTAGTTTCTRCTTGTGAGTGTCTTTCTTGTCACAAGATCATCATTGTCACAAGATGGAATCTCCCCTTTTGTACAGGTAAGAGATCAAGGAGCAAAATAATTATAACATGCTTATACTAATTCTAGAGATTGGGTTCCTGCAACTTAGTTCTGTCCTTTATTATTCATTTGCAGAATCTTTTATGCTCAAGAAATTCAGGAACAACTAACTCAATATATAGATACTTTCTTTCTGGCTATTTAATAACATTTTACACAGTGAACTGCAAAATAAAATGCTGATACTGGAGAGCTGCATGCGAGCACACATACAAGGACRTTAACTCGCACTCCCATTCAGTATCCGCGTGCTCAGCCATGGCACACAGGCACCAAGAGCTGATTTACATCAGCTGATCATCTCATCATTAGTTTCCCTAATAGTGTCAGCTCTCTGGTGTAGCTCAGCCTCATACACAAATGTCTTATTGATTCAGATGGCAGCAGAGCACAAGAGTTATGAGCTCAATGAAAATTGTGGCATCGTGCAAGCCAGAGCTGTAATTAAGGGGCGTGGGTAAAAGCTCTTGCCTTGAGAAAAGGAAGTGTCAATGAAAGGTTTGCTCTGATGAGGGGGAATGAGGGCGCTTGCATCTGTGCGTGTTTCCCTCCTACAGCTTAAAACAGAAGTTAAATATTTGATGCAGAAATTACCATGTGAAATTTCACGGCTGCTGCTTTGCAGGCTGTTACATGCTCATAGGGTTCCCCTCCCATCCTTGAAATTTCTGAATACCTGCCATTACCATAATAATAAGTTTGAATGGTAATGGGTGCGATGTAAAGAAATTGAGTTGGAGATTCTGGCACAACTTGGTCGGTGACTCAGTTACTTTCTACACAGTCTGTGCTGGATTTTTCTTACTACAGATATCAGAGAACTGATTTACTGCAGAAATACAGAAATCCTTTTATTTCAAAATGAAACCTTTATAATTCCACATGGAAGCTGAACACTGCTCAATTTCAGACTTAGGAACTTAGACTCATCAAAGTGGTATTTCTTGAGTAATTGGAGACCATCTGTGGTGCATCGTTTTTAAAATGAAAATAGTAATGAGTGAGTGCTTTAAGAATGTGCTGCAGATTGCTCTCCTCAGGTTGCAGTAGTTTGTGAAGACACTACAGATAGTCTTAAGCTTGATGTACGTGCCTGCCCAAAACACTGTTACCAAGACAGACGCAGTATGTGAGACCACAGGGCTGGATTTTGCAGGAATATGTTGGGAATGATGCCAGAATGGAATCCTGAGAGGTTCGGCTCCAGCAGCCTCTTCTATGTGATACTGTAAGAGACTAAATTGTATGAAACAACTTCTTGGGAGAAGTTTGAATCCCMAAAGCTTTGCTCTTTTCCTCCCTATGTAAACAAGATCTGCCTTTAAGCAAACAGATGACATCTCTCCCGTGATGAGGAGTGAAATACCTGTGAAGGAGAGCCTGGATTACTTTGTTTYGGATGAAACTGGGTAAAAATGAAACTCTGTTTGTTTTATCTAAAACKTATGGCTTTATGGATGCTCATGTTACTTCCTTATAGTCTGAGAGCCCTCCTCAATGTGGCAACGTTTTACAACAAAGACCAAGGGGGCATTTTGGGGAATTTTCTTTGCAAAACTTGTAGTTTTAGTTGAGAGCTCATCTGGAACTCATCTAGACTGCACATCTTGGGACAAACTGTGGTAGTTTTGGGATAGCTCCTGTTTTTGGTATTGCCATGGTCTATGTCCTTGGGCAAGGCTTTTCACGTGTATATCTCCTGTGTACCTCAGGCCTCTTTGTACATCAGATACCCGATCTCTGGATTCTTCATAATGATACCTGCGTTGTTACTTGTTTCTGCCTTTTCTAGGTTGAGATGTGCAACCAAACAGCAGGGAGAAACTGCAAACCCTGGTGTGGCGAGGCGCGTTACGTAGATTTAGCTTCTGCTCCAAAATCCACCGCAGTTCAAGGCTTCTTCGTGATTTCACTGCATTTTATTTTCCATTTATTTATTGACCCTCCGACCAGTCAAAGACAGGAGCATGGGCAGAGTTTTTTAGAAAATATTTGAGTAAGCCAATACCTATGTATTGTGTAGGGCAAGAGCCCTGGGCTCAGCTCCAAGAGTAATCACAAGCATTGTTGTCTTCTCTCCCAGAGAAACAGGCTTTGTTTATAAACATGGATCCCTTGTGTGTAAATTTATCTTTACACATTCCTCTCCAGCTGTTTTCATACAGAAAACACACAGAAATCCCAAGCAGTTGTCTGTCCATGGGAAGGTACCACTTGAGCTAATCCACAGTATTTCCAAGCATGTGATGGTCACAGTGGCCCACTATGGTCATGATTGCATGCAGGCATTTGTAGCAGCGCAGATATCCTCTAGCAGGAGCAGGAACAAGCCATGCAACACCTGTAATCCGAACTCATTCCTGGCCACAGCAGGTGGGTGGCACTGGTAGCACCAGATTATCCCACTGTGATAGATCTTCGTGTAGTAGCAGGAGTCGGATGCTTTGACCAGGGCTTAATCTTGTCTGGAGTGATGGCCAGACCACCAYGTGTAGCGTTTCCCATCTCCAAACAAGGATTTCCAGCAAAATTTATACTCAAGTAGAGCAGTGCTCCGCCAAGAGGCCACAAATGACCAGATCTCATGTTGGAACTGATCTGAGATGGAGGAGCCTTTGTCCATGTGTGAAATGGATCAATGTAGAGGAGCGTTAACAGCCGGTATTCTGCGAGTGCCTCTCTCCAGGAACCAGGACCCCAAGTGCATAGAAGGATGTGACATGGATTTTTCCATCATAGATGGAATGGARAGGGACTCATTTGGAATTAGCTTCGTAATTTCTGAGTACACCCATGGTCCGTGCAGAAACTGGTCAACACCTCCTGGAAATGCAGCCCTATCCGAACAGAATTGTCATGGCCTGGATTGGGCAGGCCTAGTGCTACACAGGGGCAATAGGGAGCTATCCCAACAGTTCTCCCTTATGCAGGGAAGCTGGTGCATGGCAAAGCTGCTGCGTTTGGGAAGGTTTGTAGGGTAGGAGGGTGGTTTGCACWTTAGAGACCAGGCTTTCCATGGGAGGGAGCCTGTGGTGCGGGGCCTGCGCCCTGTCCCGGATAGCTGAGACACAGGCAGGAGGCTTTGTTTATTTATAGAAAAAARAACATGTCGGGGGGTGGGCATGAGCGGGAATGAGTTGTGCTGATAAGCCTCACGACTGTATTTTATTTTACTGAGATCCTTAACAAATAATCTTCCCGCAATGCAAACCTGGCTTATCAGGCTAATGCAGATTGCCTGAAATCCTTATCTCGGCGGGCCAGTTAGCTGGAGTGATCCCCTTTTCACAATGAATGGAGAATGAAGAGCGCCGCACAAGCGCAGCCCTCCCTCCCCGCCGCCGCGGCGGGGAACCGAGCGGCCCTGGTTTCCAGGCTCATAAATCACCCAGGGGCTCCGCGCCGAGCTGCCCCGTGCTGCGAGGCGGTTGCTGCTCACGGAGCCCGCGGGACGGCGCCGGGGGCACGACTGGGAAGGGGGGAGAGGCAGAATCCATCGGTGCGGCCTTCTGAGAAGAGGTCTATGCTTAAAGAGGACATTAAAYGTTAGGTGGGATCTCCTTACTTAACCGCTGTGTGTCCAGAGCGGCGAGCCAAGGCAGAGACATCCGAGTGTGTTTCCCTGTGAGGYTTTCCAGCTCCCCATTTAGGCACGTCCTGGGAACAGGCTGCTGCTCTTTGCAGGCTAAAGATTTATGGTGAGAAAAGTCCCTGCTGCTCA